GGGGGGGGGGGGGGGGGGGGGAATGGTGGGGACCGTTTGAAAACGGAATCAACGATCTGGATTATGCCACGTCGTCGTCTGTAGCAGTTGTTGTTTGACTTCTCACGCGCGCGTTACGGAGTTTTGGCCCACACGCTTCTCTCCCTTGATTTTTATGAGAAGAAAAATCATTCCAACTAATTAATTAATTCGTCTTTAAAACAAAATATATCTCATGCTTTTTTAAAATAATTTAGATAATTTTTTTTAAAAAAATAATAGTTATGATATTATATTATATTTATTTATTTTGAAATTTGATATATATAAAAAATTTAATTGATATAAATAACTTCGAATCTATTAGACTATTTTAATTCAATTTCGATTGAATCTAAACGTGCGATCGCTGTCATATAATATGAAAATTAATAAATAAGAAAAAAGCAAACAAACTAAATAGAGAACTCTAGAAGGGGAGAATTTTCTTTTTCATTAGTCAAAATTAAAAATTTAAAGTCCAAATATTTTATTCAAATTGGTCTAAAAGATCAATTTGATTCTTATGATTTTAGACATACTTTTAATTTGATTCATATTGACAGGGAAAGAAACACATTCCTACACGTTCGTCTAATATTATAAAATATTTTAATATATATTTAATCCATTATAATTTACCGTCATGTTTTCCTACACATTCCTACTCTCGTCTCATTTTTCGTGGTGCCCTAACCTAATACTTTAAATGGGCATCTCTATTTATCGAAACTCAAACTAATTCCATACTCTAAGATTATATTTCAAGCTCCTTATCGGCTCAGATTTCTAAAATGGTAGCCATGTTGAATTAGTTAGAAAAATTATTTTCACTTAGGCAAATCAAATGACAAACCCTCGTAAATAGAAGTTCATAATTCACTCGGATTAAGATCAAGTCACCCTCATAATCCCTAGCTCTCTATCATCGTCCCCGTGCACATGCATATGGACTATTTGGGCCATAGGGCATGGGGCATACGTCATCATGTATAATACAACCGGTTGTCAAAAAAAACTTAAATGGTTGGATTAGAACACATTAAACGATTTAATTTATCTAAGTTTCACAATTAAACCTGTAATTAATAAAGGAGTCAAAGCAGTGGAATAGATTAGGAAGGGACGTGGGTCACAACGTCGGGTCGGGTCAGTCGTACGAGTACAAACACGTATCACGCGGGTCACGTTTGGGTCGGGGTACCGTCGGGTCCAGCACGCGGGTTGTGAGGCTGCTGGGTTGGGCGACGCGGGTCATGGGTTGAGCGCCTAATGGGCCAAAGGACGCGCTCGTGGGCCAGACACTTGCTGGATCGACCCGCGACGAAGAGGGCTAGGCTGCGACATCCATGGGCCGACTGGAGATGGATCTGGGTTGCTGCGGCCTGCTTGACGGTTCCAAACCTACTTGGTTCGGACATGGGTCTGAGGCTCAAAATTTGTAATAAAAGAAAAAGCGAAAGAAGGAACTACCTTATCAAAAAAGGAATTTACATTTAAAGCCTCTCATCCATTGAAAATAAAATAAAATAAAATAAAATAAAAATAATAAATAAAACCGTCATTATCCACGCTGGAATCTGATGTCCGATTTAGGGTTTTTACCCAAATCCAACCGACATATATAAGTCCCACAACCATGGAAAACCCTCTTTCTTTCTTCAGTGCAGTTTCAGCTGCCCTCCAATTCATCCCTCTGAAACAATCTCCTCCGTCTTCATCTCCGCCGTCGGATCTCGGACTCCGACCATCTATCCCTTCTTTATCCTTCCCTCTCCTCCACTATTATTTCGCCTGCACAACAAACCCCCAAAAAAAACAAAACTTTTGTTGTTAGGTTTTCTACCCAAATTCGTAAAAAAACACACACACACACACCATTCTTGTTCTTCGTCGTCGTCGTTCTTACTATCCATTTCATTTCGTTGTCCTGTAGGATTATCCTCCGCCGTCCTTTTATTTTCCGATTCTGAATAATAGAGGAGAGGGAAGCGAGTCAAAGATCAAAAAAATTTTAAAAACTTGAAAACAGAAAAGCATCCAAACGACACCGAATTTTCTCAGAATGGCTCAGGTTCCATCTCCACCTCAAGTTCCCGGTACCGATCCAGTGGCCAATGGACAGCATGCCACGACGTCGTTGTATGTTGGAGATCTTGACGTGAATGTCACCGATTCGCAGCTCTATGATCTTTTTAATCAGGTGGGGCAGGTTGTTTCTGTTAGGGTTTGCAGGGATTTGACGACCCGCCGATCGCTTGGTTATGGCTATGTCAATTACAGCAGCCCTGTGGATGGTTAGTCTATGCCTGCCTTTTGTTCATTTTAGGTCCTCGAGATATACATGTCGCTATATTGGGTCTTTGTTGGAGTTTTTTCTGTTATCATTGAGTTTTTTTTGTGCAGTCCCCTTCACATTCTAGGAATTAGGACATCTTATTGCTTCATTTTTGGAAAAACTATGCATATTTGTTTTTGTTGGCTTGGTTGATGTCTTAATTTCATTCACATATGAGGAAACAGCTCCAGAATATTGTGTCTGTTGGTGTTGATTTTTCATTTTATATTCTTGATGCTGTAGAATTCTTGTAGTTATTAAGAAATCGATGGCTGATCATTTTGTTCTTTTATCTTTTTGTTTTCTTCACCTCTCCGCGAATTTTAATTTGAGCCGTTCTCAAGTTATTGTGATATGTTGATGGGAATGCTGGTTGCAGAAGGAATATAAGTTTTCCTGTTTGTGGTTTGATCAATGCTATCATGTCATCAACTTTTGCTTGATTTTGTTAATTATGTTTGATTATATCTTTTTCCCGGACTTCATGACAGCAACAAGGGCATTAGATGCGCTAAACTTCACCCCTTTGAATGGAAATCCTATAAGGGTTATGTTTTCGCATCGTGACCCTAGCATGCGGAAAAGTGGGTCTGGAAATATTTTTATCAAGGTAAGTACTTTTGTAGCAAGAGCTTTGTTTTCCTTGTCTCAGTGGCTTGATTGCTGGATGTTTTGACTTAATGCTGCTCTTAAACGATAGAATTTGGACAAGGCAATTGATCACAAAGCGTTGCATGATACATTTTCTGCATTTGGAAGCATTTTATCCTGCAAGGTTGCTACAGATGCATCCGGGCAGTCTAAAGGCTTTGGTTTTGTGCAATTTGATAAGGAGGAAGCTGCCTTAAAAGCCATAGAGAAGTTGAATGGAATGCTGCTAAATGACAAGCAGGTGTTTGTGGGACCTTTCGTTCGCAAGCAAGAACGAGAAAGTGTCAGTGAGAAAACAAAGTTTAATAATGTTTTTGTTAAGAATCTGTCGGAAACTACATCTGATGAAGATTTACAGAATATGTTTGAGGAGTTTGGACCAATAACCAGTGTTGTGGTGATGAGGGATGGGGATGGAAAATCCAAATGCTTTGGCTTTGTAAACTTTGAGAATGCAGACGATGCTGCGATGTCTGTTGAAGCACTTAATGGAAAGAAGGTTGATGGGAAAGAGTGGTATGTTGGAAAAGCCCAGAAGAAATCTGAAAGGGAAGTTGAATTGAAAAATCGGTTTGAGCAGAGTGTAAAAGAAGCTGCTGACAAGTATCAAGGTACAAACCTATATGTTAAGAATTTAGATGATAGCATTGACGATGATAAACTGAAGGAGTTATTCTCTGCGTTTGGAACCATTACCTCATACAAGGTTGTAAGGACTATATATGTTTTGTAATCTTACACTCTCCAGTTGAGTATTAACAGATGATTTAATACTTTACATGCCTGTAGGTTATGCGAGACCCTAACGGAATGAGCAGAGGTTCTGGATTTGTTGCATTCTCAACTCCTGAAGAAGCTGCTAGAGCTGTGAGTTACATTATTGTGCACAAGAATATTGTTTAGATGATGCTTGTTATTCGGCTGACTGTCGTATTACGGTTAATTAGCTTCAAGATTTTTATTATCTATTTCTGTCACCTGATAGCTTGGAGAGATGAATGGAAGAATAATTGTGAGCAAACCTCTGTATGTTGCACTCGCGCAGAGGAAGGAAGATAGAAGAGCGAGGTTGCAGGTATGTTTGTACTAATTATTATGTTTTGAAGTGTGGATGCTACCGTTCTTTCTCGTTTTCCAATATTAAAATGTCTCGTTTTCCAATATTAAAATGTCTGCTAATATTTGTTTATCCACTTCCTCTTTTGTTTGACATTGACTGTACTTTATATATGTGCATCTCAGGCACAGTTTTCCCAATTGCAGCCAATGGCAATGGCATCTTCAGTTGCACCTCGTGGCATGCCAATGTATCCTCCAGGTGCTCCAGGTATCGGACAACAAATATTCTATGGACAAGCTCCGCCTGCTATTATGTCCTCGCAGGTAACTTCTTTCTTTTTCTCTTTGGAAAAAGTAACCTGGATCGTTGTGGTTTGCATATAAAATGATTTCTTTCTTTTCGACATCTCTTGTTCTTCATGGAAGGGGTTGTAAATTGTGACTGCATTTAAACCATACTATGAATTCTTGCAGCCTGGCTTTGGTTATCAGCAGCAACTCATGC